CTCGGCGATTGACCTCTGTTACAACCAATCATCAGTACTGCGCATTGGGAAACCAGTAAAACCGGTTGTTCGGGAAGCATGCGCGTGCAATTCACCTCCATACCATTGGAGCTTCCTAAGGCCACTTCTCAACTCCAAAAGAGCGCCCAAGAGCTCCGCGACATCGCCTCTATCCAAATCCAACCCGTATACATCTGAACCAGAAAGTTCGGTGGATTCACCACTCTTGAGACGTCCATTCTCAGAGTTGAACAAGCCATCGAAGTGTTGATCGTATCTGCCATGCAAAAGGCTTAAGCGACGTTGATATTCGGCAAATCGTTTATTAAAGAAAGAATCGACCAATTCAAGATTGCGGTCAAGTTCAAAGAAGAAAGCTAGCCACGAAAAAAAATTAGCCAAGAACCAATGACGGCATGCAACCGAGTTACTCACGGGCCAGATCAGCTTCTCCTTTCGCACGCTGGCCAGATATAGCAGCCTTAATATGTTTCTTGAGTCCTTTGTAATCTATGTAACTCGAGGACCACTCAGGAACCTGGTTCCTTGGGAGTCTGCAGTGATAATGATAAGCGGCTCCTCGAGATCCCTGCAAACAACAAAAGTAGAAGATAGAATGACGTACGACTTGCCAAACTTCATGATGGATGAACCAATGGAAAGTGATACAAAGCGGATTGTACCCCGTACAATCTTGCAAGGAGTGTTTATAGAGTATATTTGCGGAGGAAAATTTGGTGAGAGGCTCCGGGTAAGAGAGGTCAGAGCATTGGCCCTTGGAATATGAAGGGGAAGAGGGCTGGTGTTATGTAGGTGGGCGGGCTATCGGGTAGGTATTGCGCAAGACCTATGAGAGCACGGCAATGTAAGAGTACGGGTAGGGTATGATTGTGACAACGAAAGCGGTACGATACCGCCGTCGGGGTTCCCACGAAGCTGGTCGCACAGTACAGGATTTGCCGACTTGAACAGGTTGTTCCTCCCTCCCCCAAAATAAAAAATTCAAAGGCCAGGACAGGTGAATGGAGACGCGCTGAGCAAGTTCGTGTTCAAGCTAATTACTCCGGTTGGTCAGTCAAACCCTACACACCACACCGTTACAAATGATATAAACATGCAGCCGTGAGAATGCTAACAGGGATGATCGGTCTCCCTATCCCAGAAGAGATATCTAAATATTCGTGGAAGTGGTGTGAAAGGTCTCCGACAAGTTCCTCCCGGCTATGAAAGTGAAAGCTATCTAGGGAAGGGAAGATGTAACATCCGAAAGCATCTACAGCACCAAGCCAGCTTGTTTAGACGGTTCAAAAACTATATGACGGTTTGGCGGGGGGTGGTTGTGATAAAGGGAGACAGATCGGTGAGAGAAGGTAGGAGGGTAGAAAAGAAAGGGCAAGGGGAGGAATCTCAGGTGCGCCTTCAGTGCAGGTGGGGAAGGGAGGAAGGGATGTTGCAAGAATTTCGGAGGGGTGGAGGGGGGGAAGAAGAGCCAAAAGGTGTTGTTATGATAGGTTTGGTATGAGTGGTTTGGGCCTTGATATACACGGCACAAGTATAGTGCATCATGGTTCTCCCACTGGTGAAGCTTTTGGCCACTCCATTGGCCCCCGTCATGCCGGTAACTGCAGCTGCAGCCAAAGCGTTCCTCCCAAGAAGGCTTTCCCGCTAAGCGAGAGCTTCGGGTAGAGCATCACCCGTCGAGGCTCTGCCGGTATTAATGCTCTCTAGAACATTGAAATCTGGATTGGGTGGTAGAGGCATCTCATGTATGACAAGGTACAGTACAAGTACTCGTACAATCAATTTACACGGTAGACCCCAAGATGTCCGAGTAGAGATTGTCGATAGACGGTATTGCACACATACAGTGAGAGTAGTGGTACTTGTACTGGTGCAGGGTAATACGGTATCCCCATCAGGCTCTCTCCGTTATTTCCTCATATGCGCAATGCCCTGTTCCGTGCAAGTATCGGTACCTACCCTCCAAAGCAGGGATACATTCCAGTTCATGATGCTTATGATGATGAGTTTTCCACCCGCTTCAGTTCCGTAGATGATTAGGAAAACACGCACCCCTTCCAGATTCAATTCACCCAGTTGATTATTCGGCCTTTATCCCCATGCAGTAGACTACCCCACCCATCCGCTCCAATTGTGGCCCCCCCTTGCGTCTACACCTTCTTTCCCCGGACAGCTACTTTCTACATGTGGCGGAAGACATGGTGGCCTGCGAATCAGTAGGACCGCTAGCCACACAGCCGTCTCCATCGTCGGCTGGTCGTTTTTAACCACGGGGTGGAAACCCATTCGACGGGTGTCAATAACTCAGTTGACGGATGCGCACAGATAACTTCACCGATTGGTCTTGTGATTTGATGTGCCCGCTTCTAACCCGGTAAAATAGGCATAGCACTCACGAGGGCGTTTACTGAAAAGGGAAGCTTTTATTGAAACTGAACTGGGACCAATGCTACCACTTGAGTACCGGTATCCTTCCAGGGAGGAGGGTGGATTTTCTCCCCGGTGCTCTTTAAATAGAGCTTTCCTAGTGGGTCTAGTCCTCTCGGCACTTTGCAGTACGAGTACTCAAGTAAGTTATCGCACCCCGTGCCTGGGCACGGAGGCGCCAACAGCTGGGATCACCCTCTCAAGGGAGCGCTAGAATTCCCGAACACTTCGACTCGCGCGCAGACCGAGCCACGGCGCGCTGTATTTCGCTGCTCCTTCTCGTTTCCTCCTCGTTGATGTGCACCATGACTTAATATGCGCAGAAGTACTAGTAGATGAGTTCAGTCTACAGCACGCGCACCGGCACTGTACTTGTACTGTACTGTACTTACAGTACCATACCCACCGTGCCACCACCGTTGCTCAACGAATCCAACCATGATCATTTACCCGGCCCGCTATCGCGCTTGTGCCAGATGCAGCTTCACTTTCATCTCCGATCAGGTTAATTCAATTGTGTATCTCTAATCGGTGTCCGGTTCGGCCCATTTCATACATCACGGGGTACAGTACGTTACTCCCCATTGTTTTTGCAGGTTTGCCCTTTAAGCGTTCATCACTCACTATGCTAAAGCGAAAACTTCAGTGAAAGTGATATCTTGATGGAAAAGCTGCATGATGACGGGGCAATCGATTGGAACCACAGCGCCTCCGGTCTTGTGAAAGAACTGGTGTGAAACCTGGGAACAAGATTAGGGAGCTCCTCCACTTTATTTTTGTTAAGCTCATGATACCATACCGATAACTTACACGGTAGCGTGGATCAAAGTCATCCATGCCAAGCAACACACAACCCCGATTGAAGTCTCCATTTCCAAAATTTATAATTCATTCCCTATCCTAATACTTTCATGTGACGACAGACATCCGCTATGGTTCTAATATTTATTTACAATCTGTTTTTGAACCCGTCGGGCGGGAGGAGCGCTTGTCCGTCTATTGTCCGACGTTTTATTGAAGACTCAGCAAAGACCACATACATACCGGTATTGGGCGGAGACTGCCAACAGATCGATATCGCCAAGACATCCGCCCACAGATTGTGGGGTCCTCCGATGCGAATCATGGCTTGACCCCCTTTGCCACTTGAGATGGACACAACCCAGGCACATAGTCTCACATGTGGAGCCAACTCCGACAAGTCCCCGAGCTGATAGTCGACCCCGAACAGTGTCACTAGCTCTAAAGACGTCAGTGGATGTTCTACCCAGCGCCGGAAAACGTTTTCCCTAGAAGCTAAATCTTCCATGTGATCCCTACGTACCATGATACACCTCTCAGCGAATTAGAATGGGGGCTAAGTTACCGCCTACTCGAGTACCGGTATCGTGGTCTGGGGTAGGTATTTTGGCCTACGACACGGCTGCTTCAGGACAATACACGACCCCGGCTGGACATAATTCCTCTTATGACCTATCTGCCAATTTGCCAATTTCATAATATACGAGCCACAGTACGACCAAGGTGCTCCAGCCTCGTGGGAGCACCGAGTCGACATAAATCTTAAACCTATATCTCCAGTTCAAACCACCAGCACTCGAGTGCACCATTCCCGCATGATGACCCCCGAAATTAGGGCCCGTTCCTAGTTCACCCGAGATCAAGCCTACTTTTAAGCTTATTGACTTTACCCACTGGCCTCTCTTCCCAGTTGAACAGGCCTCCGGCTGGCTGCGCCTCCGGGAAATGCGGATACGTAATTTCGAATCCGCACTTCGTCCAGAAAACACCTGCATTTCATATCCTCTACCAGAGTTGGAATAAGGTTTTTAACAACAGAGCACCGCGGCGGATAAAGGACACTTCATCTACCGTCGGTATCTAGCGATAGGGGCACTTTCCGGTGAGGAATATAAAATGCCGCAGGACAAAGCGCCGAACGCAGGTTGTCGGAATACCATCGCACAGTAAGGGGTCGGGTAGATGCCCGTGGCCGGCAGTTCCAGTGCCGCTTCTGCCCTTTGATCGGCTGGATTAAAGTGTGAAGTACGTTGGCCGACAATGGGCGGGCTATTTTGGAAACTGAAGGATAATCAACCACGTTTGGCCGCAGCCTTCACTCATATATCGGGTTCCAAAGACACACCTTGCCATCTAATGAGAATACAATTCAGACATGACAATATTGGACAAGAATATTGGTTCGTAGATATACCTCCTTGCCTGCCCGCCCACCCCACCTGTGGAAACCATCTTGACCCTGTATAATAAATGACATGAATTCAACCTCAACCCAGCAAAAAAAAACCAATCATCAAACAAAACTCGCAATTGCAGATCCCTCAGCATTTCTCCCGAGTGACACTCTATGAACAGGACCATCCCATTCCCCCACCTTCGCAAAACTCCCCCACGAACACCCAAACCCAATCAATAACCCTAACCCGCCGCCAAGCCAACGCCACTCCCTCCCCTCCATCCATCCACTCAAGCCCCCATCCCGTCCATCAACCCACTACCACCTCACCACAGCACTTCATCACCAACCACAAATGCCACAACTCCACCCAACACCCCAGCAAGCCTACCTAACTCTCCTCCGTGCCGCACGCCTCGCCTTCGCGAGCGACACGCAAACACTGACAGCAGCGCGTGCCAAGATCCGCCAGAAATTCCGGCACACGCCCGCGGCGCAACGGGACCAGGGTGTGCGCTTGGCGCTGGAAGCAGCCGAGATTTTGAGGAGGAATGTGGTTCAGGGGGTCATGAAGGAAGGGGAGGGGATTTTTCGTGAGTTCCTTCCTTCCTCCCTTTTTCCGGGGGGAGGCTAACTGGGGGTAGGCTTGAGGATACATGATGAGATTGAGAAGGGGGATAATGCAAGTGTCAAGTTTGGTGGTGGGCGGGATGGGGGGAAGTGTTGCTCCCGGTGAGGGGGATTGTATCATATCTTAAGGGGCGCGGGCGGGAATCGGATGTAAAAAAGCGGGTTGGGATTATGCTATGATTGGTATGACGTATGATACTTTTCACGTGGAGAAAGGGAACAAAAAAAAATATAAAAAAAGAAAAACAGAAAAAAACAATCATAAAACTATGGTACAAGTAAATCCCCCCTCTTTCATCCCATCAGACTCTAACTTCAGCTCCCTACCTGCGAAGGATACACAACATCATCCTCCCCGGGGGGCCTTGCAAGGACAATTTCCTCCCTGACATCTCTCCCCCCATCCTCCCGCCCTTCCATATCCCCGGCATCCACTACCTCCTCCTCCTTCCCACCACCAGCAGCAGCAGGGTTCACATCCCTAACCACCGCGGCACTCTGCCCCCGATCCATATTCCCCAACGGCCTTGTGCGCCCCCACTGCACGCGCAGTGGACACCCGGCGACAACGGCCTTCCCCTGGCATGTCGCGGTCGCAGATTCGGCGGCGGCACGGGTGGTGAAGTTTATGAATGCGCAGCGGGATCGGTGCACGCACACGACGGACTTTATCGGGCCGTGAGGGGCAAAGAATGTTCGTAGGTGGTGTTCTGCTAGGTCATCTTCCACGCTGGTGGTTTGTTAGTCCACCTGTAAAATTAAAAAAATAGAAATAAAAATAAAGAAAGGAAAGGGTGGGGGGCATACCCTGTGAGAAATAGGGAAGTAATTGTAGTATCTTCCGGGGGAGCCCAGTCCATCGGTCCCGGGGGGATCTGACTGACACCCGGGAAGCGAGCTCCGCGACCTTTTCCACCCCTTCCTCTACCACCTCCACCGCCCCTATTCCTAACAGGCCCCACCCTGCGAGACCCCTCCCCATCATTACCATTACCCCCACCCCCGCGCCTCCTCTTGTAATAAGGCTCACTCCCAGCCAACCTCTTCAACAACTCCCGCGCCCGATCGTCCGTCTTCTCGTACTCCTCCGGCACCTGCGCGTCTACCAACGTGCCCTCACTGTTCTGGGCGTAGTACTCCTTGTTGATCCCCGAACTAGGACCCTGCGCCACCAACTTGAGCGCCGCGTCACGCACCGCGATCGGCAGGCCGAAGGATAAATCCAGCATGCAGCATTGACAGCAATTCTTCAGGCGGGCACACGTTAGACATATCTGCTTCGAGTTAGTCACCAGAAGTGAAAATAGGATTGGGGGGGTTAGGCACGTTTGTCTTCTTGAAGCGGGATGTGCGGTCGGCGGCCCAGCGAAAGACGGTGAAGGGCCTCGTGCAGATCTTGCATTCCATGCCGTGATCTTCCTTTATCATTTGGATGAATGGGTTGTCAGTTGCGCTGAGGCAGTCGTTGCACACGGCTGGGAAGTCCGTGACTTCGGAGCCCGAGCGGTTGATGTCGGACTTTGGGCCTGCGGGGGGCATTCTTATTCTCTCTTGTTATTATCAGCAGACTATAGGAGGAGAAGTATCGATGGTGGTGATGGAGGAAAGAAGGTGTTGTTGTTGTTGTTGTTGCCGAGGCTTGGTGTGTTCAAGTTCTAGAAAAGAGATGACGGTGGCGACTTCCTTGCTTGTTGATTACCTAATCAACCACCCATGCCTAGTTGCATACCGCACGTCCAGGACGGATGGATATCGTACTCGAGTGATGCAGCGAGTGACTGAAAGTGCAACACACGCGCAGAGTGAAGCAAAGTGTACTGCACTCATACATAAAGGCCGTATCATACAAAATGCCCTACCGCAAATTTAACAAGTGTTGTTCTTCCGTTCGCTTGTTTTTTCCCCTCCCCCCTTATCTCACAGCAAGCGAAAAGCAGTCCCTAAACTACCCCTCAATCCCTCGACCATTTCGGATAATAAGGCAAGGTATCATAGCCTCGCATGCGCCAACTCAACAACTGTAGCCAGAAAGTGCAACATCACATCATCATTAAGCCTTCAATCAATTGATGGAACAAAAAGGGAAGGAAGGAAACAGAACTCTTATTTCCTTGTTTATTTGTTTGCTGGAGTAGCTACGGCACGCTAGCTGTAACTACAAAGGACCGGATCGGACCAGATATTCAATCGCGTCAACAAAGCGATAGCGATAACCGGCTCATCATCTCATCGATCCATCCATCCATAAAATCAATCAATCCCGCAACCATATCCGTGAAACATGAAATAAAAAAAATAAAAAACAAAGAGGGAACGCCAGACGATCGAAACGGAAATGAAAGCAGACCGGAAAAGGAGATTAAATTAGGAATAAGAAAATAAAATAAACACTAGCCAGACTCCCCTATTTCCCCATACCCCGCCGTTTTTGTTTTCCAGCGCAATGTTATATACATTTTATAGACCGACCGATAAGAAAATAACGCATGTTTTGTTGTTTTTTGTTTTTTTGTTTGTGTGAGATTCGTGAGTGTTTGAATAGCGCGGGTGCATTGAAAAAAAAAAACCGGCAACCAAGTTCTCCATATAATAATCACGTTCAGTATTTCACCAACTTCCGGAGGTAGGAAGAGATGGAGGGAGAGGAAGAAGAGGGGAAAGGGAAAAATGAAAAAGGAGAGGTTCGAATAATTCAAGTTATAGAAAGTAAAAACGAGAAGGATAAAAACAGTAAACAGCCGTATAGAGTACCGGTATGAAGGGCGTAAACCGGCAGAGAATATGGACAACGGGAACCCTGTGAGCCTGGCACGATCTATTCCTACTCAAACGCGGACAGCAAGATTCCGGAAAAGTACTGTTTGGGGTGGTATAGCGTTAGCAAAAACACGACCCCGCAATAGGATAGATAAGAGGATAAGCCGAGTAGATGGAACGGATAAACAAATAAATAAATAAAAAGGATACCTACCTCCGAGGCCTCCTTGGCCTGTTTCTCTTGCCATTCCTTCTCCCACATGGCGACCTTCTCCTCAATATCCTTCTCGCTAGTGAATCCCTTTTTCCTGGCGCGGGCCCTAAAGTTGGAGAGTCTAGCGGAGGTCTTGGCCTTCTCAGGATTCTTCTTTCTATAGTCGGAGGACGAGAGACGATTGCGCTCAACGGGAGTTCCCTTGGGTTCTGCCCGCGATAAAGATATTAGAATTGACCCGAGTCGAGTGCGGGGGAGGATGTAAATAAACAAGTATGAAAAAAAAAACGGAAGGTAACATACCAGCTTCCTCCTTCATTAAAGTATGAGCTTCGCCATGGGCCTTCTCAAAATCCTGCTTATCGGGGAGTCCCCGAGTAGCATAATACTTGAGATGATGCCAAAGACTCTGTCTCGGATTCCTACCGGTAAAAGTCTGACCACAGCCCTTGACGGGACACTTGAGTGTAGTGGTAGGAGTGGTCGCGGCGGAGCCTCCAGAAGAGGAAGCGCCGCCGCCAGACTTTTCTACACGACCACTAATGACGTGGTGAAATTTTGGAGTCTTCGGGGTCTTGTTGTGATAAGACGAGGACTTAAGCGGCGGGAGAGGAGGTGGAGACTCGGGTTCGTACTCAGATGCGGAGGGCGAGTGATATGCTGTGTTGTCTCCGGTCATCGGGTTAGCACTCGGACTAGCAGAGCGGGAGGATGCGGGCTCTCTGGGTTGAGCGGGTGGACTAGCGGGTGGCGGGGCGATTGGCGCAACCGGGGCTGGGGCGGGATTGTCCTCCATGATGGGTGCGCTGGTGGATGGTGGACCAGCGATAGCGTCGACGGTGTTATTGCTGTTAGAGGTGGAAGAGGTGAGGGTGGTGGCGGGGACTTCAGAGGCCATGGATGCGACCAGCTTTTGGATTGTGATGGTTGGAAGACAAGGGTGAGGGTTGGCAGTGAGGGGAAAGCGTTATTTGTGGATCTAACGGGTGTGGAGGGCAAGAAAAAAGCGTCAAAGAGGAAAAGGAAAATAGGCAAAAGGAAAAGTAATAAAAATCGGGGAAGGGTAAGAGTGAGAGGCGATGACAACCCTCGTTCGACTCGGCTCGCAGAGACAAGCTCACCCTTCCTCTCCTCGAAAAGAAAGAAATAATAATAATAGTAAAAATGAAATAAAAGTAAAAGTAAAAAAGGAAAAGAAAAGCCGAGAGGAGAAAGGAAAAAGGAAACTACTCGATTAAGGGTAGGGGGATAAGAATAAGAGTAGCGACACGAACTAATAGAATGGATCAAGTGAATAAAAGACCGATCAAGTTAAGCAGAATTGTAGGGGCCACGTAAACTGGTGAACAGTATGATACTAATATGGGTAGCGGTAGCAAGGGGAAGGGGGAAAAGGCGGGGAAATTTCAATTAGTGAGTGGGTGAGATGTTGAGTGAGATCAAGCGAGACGAGTGATTTTTCGGGGAGAGAGGGGGGAAAGGGAAAGGGAAGAGGGAAAGGGAATAAAAAGGCGAGAGTGGATGTGGCAGAAAGGCAGGGTTACTAAGGGGATGGGAAAGGTGGGGCGGGCTCTTTCTCTTCTTCCTCTATTTCTCCTTCTCCTCCTCGTCCTTCTCCTTCTTCTTCAAATTGTATGCTGTTTCCCTCCAAGTGGGTGAGTAATAGAGCAACCAACGGCCCAGGCAAGCTAATAAAAAAAACAAATGAAAAAAACCCTCCCCCCTTCACAGAATTTCGTCCCTTCTCTGTGGAGTGCAGGATGTGTTTGGTTCAGCGCTTTTTCCTTTTTAGAGGGGAGATGGGTGGGGAGGGGGGGAGAATGGTATCATAGAGAGAAAAAAAGAGAGGGAGGGAGAGGGAAAGATGAGGAAGATGGAGAATGAAAGCGGAGGGATGAGAGAGAAAGACGAGAAAGTGAGCGAGCGAGCGAACGAGAGAGAGAGAAAGTGCATGCGCCACGCGTCATTCGCCGTCACTCATACTGTATCTCGACTTCCTACACTATCTCCATCCATCCAAATATTCCCATCTCAATCCATTCGATTTACTATAATCGCCGTGCTTAGGGGGTAGGTATCATTATCATCATCATAATCATCATCATCCATTTACCACTAATTCACCCTTTATCATATTCCTCACAATCATACTTTCACCGTCCCGCATTCCCCCTCCCCTCCCCTCCCTCACAAAATCTCACCTAACCTCTCTCTCACGGTCTCACTTACATGCTATAAGATCCAGTATTATTACGACAACCCCAACCCCACCCATCCACCCATCACCCGGGAAGGTATGATAATATTATGATAGAAATGAAAAAAAAAAAAAAAAAAAGAAATCCAAGGAAGCGCTCACATACCCTACGCATTTTCCCTCACTCGACCGACCCCGCTCACTCGCGTCAGCCGCTCTCACTCGTCCCCTCACACATTCACACACACACACCATCCACTCCAATTCCACAACTCGATTCAGACAGCGGTAAGCGTATGGTGTCCCCGTTTCAGGCCACCTACCTATGATACGATATGCAAAATGGAGATTCCCGTTCGATTTTTTTTTAAAAAATAAAGGGTAGTTGGGGTCGACTCAACTCGAGTAAATAAATCCCCACACTGGGTGTGAATTAATCTATTCCGCTCCTTCGTTTTCGCGTGGGGCAGTGCCTTACTGCACGTAATACACGGAAGATGGGAGAGCCGCCATGATACCGGAGAAGCGAACGAACGAACAGAGGAGCCGCGAGCGAGTATGTCAACGGCTATCGAGCCCCATATCACGCCCAGGCATTGCGATCCCGATCGCGGCATGACGGTGCATAGGTTAATCCAGGAGTAGCATGAGGTACTGTACCATATCCCCACCTCCCGCGAGAAGGGACAGAGGAGGGTAAAAAAAAAAAGCAAAGGAAAGTGCAACCAAGGCTAATCGAAAAGGCGGTTCCGTGATTTCACGACTTACCGGTACTTCCGACACCGTAGAGAATTTTGTTCACGGTGGAGAGGTACTAGTTTTTGGTGGTGGCCGGGGCAGGAGGGGAAGATAAAGTGATTCGCTTCCTGTGTCCGGGGCATTCGGGTTTCCTCTTGCTTTGTTCAAGTTATCGTGTGGTAGTTAGACGAGTGATCGTGGTCGCACGCACACAAGCGCACGCACGCAAGAACGCGAGAAAGAATAGCTGGTGGGAGAAGAGAGAAGAGATGATACGAGACTGAGCTTACTTTATCTTGACAGGTGCAGTTTTTTTTATTACCCCTTCCCGGAGCAGGGCTTTCATTCTTCGGGTGATCTTAGAAGGGAAGAACGAGTGAATTAATGAACGGACAAACGGGCAGGATCGATTGAATTGTTATTATTTGTTTCTTCTTCCACGGTTTGATATTGGAAGACCCAAGCCGGGAAACTTTGTCGTTTTCGCTGGATGAATGGTATCATACCTAACGGTGTGGTGGGCTATTACCGAGTATGCCTCTGTGAGAAGATTCTGTACTACTTGGGGTGTAGGAAATTTCTAGCTGATAGGATTTCGACATGATTGCCAGTCAAGACTTCACTAGCCTTTTTCCTACCCCGAAGCACGATGCGGGTACGGTACCGGTACTGTACGAGTACAAGTACGAGTGCATCCAGCATGCTTGAATACGGCACTTCCCATTCTGCCTCTCCTGCCCCCTACTTCGTTCTACGTCCCGTCGCATTGCATACCATCCTATCCATGAGCCTGTTTACCGTGCTGCTACGCTACGATACTACATCGCATGCTCGAGCACAGTACGGCACATACTGGCAACAGTAAGTGCTGTAAAGTACACTACCTTTATTAAATTTATACAGTCCAGTGCTGCAGGCACACCATAGGTTAGAGTCACATACAGCATTTCAGTTAAAAGGAAGAAAAAACTTAAAACACCAGTAAATACGCACCCCGATTCCCGATCCTCCGGTCCAGTGCAGCCCGCTTCTCGATTGCCCCCAGCCACCCTCTATTGGAACCGATGCCTTGATGCATAGACACGGACAGACTGAAAGACAGAAAGAAAAGAATTCTAAACAGCGAGGACGAAAAAATGTTGTCCAAAGTAGAAGAAAAAGGAAAAAGACAGTAATGAGGAGGAAATACAAAAAGTGTGAATGAAATAAATATTGTGCTTTTCCTTTATTTTTACAATGCGTCTATCATGTGGTATCCTTCACAGTTGTTGCTCTTGGCGTTGGGCCCACTATTATCGTCACCCTCGCCATCACTCGCTTCATCCCCACCACTAACACCACCATCCCCGCCGTCACCCTGCCGTTTCCTCTTCCTCGGTTTCTTCCTCTTCGAGAACCTTTTGCGCGTGCGAGCCCTTAATTTTTCGGAGACAACTTTCATCCTCGCGTCCAATATTTCTTCCCAAGTGCGAATCTTCTGCTTCCTGGACACAAGCGGTTTTTTCGGCGGTGGATGTGCTGGGTGCCTCATTCTAAAGGCGTCGAAGGAGGGGTCCTCAAGCATCTCCTCTATATCTTCATAATCGACGTCGGTGCAACGCGGGTCCTCCGCTAGGTCCTGCATCGCCCAGGCGTAATCCAGTGTTCGCAGCAAGTCCTTCCCTTCAACCTCGCGCATGTAGACTCCTCGCCCCTTGATGTAATTTGGTGTCTTGTTTTGCCTACGGAACCAGACCCCTTTCCCCTTATTCGGCTTCTTCGCTAGGGTTTCCTTGTCCCAACCGCGTTGTGCTGCGAGGGTTAGGACCGCCGCTGTCCACACTGAGTTCCCGCATTCCTCGCAGAGCTTGTACATTTGATGGAACGCACGGAAGTCCGCACGCTCGCCTGTGCCGTCTTTTTGATATTGGGTGTCTTGTTTCATCATTTGCTTCCATGCACGGGTACCCTGGGGCCAGTCGGTTTGCTCGGTGTAGAGTTTTAGTATGGCGGTCCAGAGCCACATTGACGGCTCCGGCGAGTCAGGACACTCCCGCGCGAGGGCTCGGAGGTAGACCAGTACTTGGCCGCTGTTGCCAAACTTTGCAAAGCCATAGATGATTGCTTCGAGGATAGGTTTCGAGCGCCTTCTCTCTTCGCGCGTTTTTCCTGGACGCATTTGCTGACGCCAGTGGATGTTCATAACCTTTAGGAAGCCGGCTTGGTCGTTGGATTTTACGCAGAGGTTGATTAAGCGGATGATTGTGCCCTCGTTCGGGGCGACTTTTGGGCCGAGGCCGCCTTCTAAAAGTGTGCGGAAGAGGAGATGGGAGAGGGAGTTCTGTCGTAGGCGGGTAAGGCCCAACATGAGGATGTTGAAGGTTTCGACATCCGGTGCTGTTGGCGAGGTAAGTAGATTATAACATATCTTGGAGAGAAAAGCAATTGGCGGGGGTCGAGCAGATAACAGTTTAATAAGGGATTCATTCAACTCTGTCGGTGGTCCAGGTGTTACGTACTCAGGGAAAGGTGGGATATAAGGGATGTGCATTTTAGGATTTATCCCCTCTGCCAACTCTCCATTCGATTCTTCCTTCTCCGGATTAGGTTTCTCCGGCATCTGGTAATAGCGATGGCTGATATGTTGTAGCGTCTTCTTGAGCATCTCCAACTGGTCGAATTCACTGCCGGAGTCGGTAGAAGGCTTCCTATGCTTTTGATCTGACGCCGTATTATCCCCCGTATCTCGCCGATGCCATCTAACTATCTCCGCTCTCAAATCTTTAAGCAGCCGATCGTGCTCTAGCACTCTCGTCGTTAGAAATTTCGCCGTTCCTTCAATGTGCTTCCGCAGTGCGTGGGGTATAATCCGATGTTCTCCCGCCTCGCTATTATTCGCAGCGTTTGGATGGGACACCGAATGTTTGAATTCCTTCCAACTACCCCCTTCCTTAGTATTAATTCCACCCCCACCCCCACCCCCTCCCGTCCTCGCTGCCTTACTGCCCTCGCCATCCTTCCTCTTCTGCTCACCAACAACCGCCGAGTAAAACCTCTTGTAGAATTCGCCGAATCGAAGATAAACCGTTACGCTGCCTATTGTAGAGTGATAGCAACAAGTGGTTCGTGATGCTTTGGACAGGAATGGTTGCATATCTCCACTGCCGCCATCCTACGAATTGCGCGGTATTGGAGTTGTGGAGTGGGGAGGCAATTGCTTGTTGACGTTTGGTGGGGGTGAGGTTTCCTAAGGATGGATCGGTTTTTATTCTCATTTCTTATTTATTTTTTTGCCCCTAATGAAGTGTGGGATTTTTATTTTATCTTGGTTAGTCAGCGAGGATAACGCGGGGTCTTGGCGTGACGACCAGGTGTTGGCCTCGGGCCACGGCTTCCAATGATGGGGGTTACCGTACCGTTCCGTACTCGAGTATAATACTGTAGTTGAAGGCTTGTGGGATGCCCCGCGAATTCTGGATGGGTATCATGGGGTTGTCTTGGGTGAAGTATCATAATATGAGTGCAAGACTGGTGTATTATTGAATATCGTACCGGTTCGAGTTGAAACAATCGATTGTTAAAGCTGGCGGATAGAAGGGATGCTGAGACCCTTTGCTGCTGACATGTCTGGGCTTCCTGTATTGGTTCATTTGCTGGCGCTGTATGCCGGTATCGCCCAACCGTGGTTCAGTGAGGGTAATGGAAGGAGAGAAATCTGTGGAATCAAGAGTTGGCCTTGGTGGTACTCGTACATAAGCGGTTCAGCTGCAGAGCGCAGGTACCAATAGCTGTTCCCGATATTCTAGTACTGCGGGCATTAATTTGCGATGGTTTACGGGAAGAGAATATGAAATGGTGACATATCCTGAATTCACATTGTTTCCCCGGAATCCTAGCTCAATCCGATTATCCTCTCAGGTGTGCGGATTTCGAGTTCGTACATTTTATCGGGGGGACCTGCTCTTGGAACCCACAGTTGCAATTGCTTCACATGATATCCTCATTCGGGAATTAAAGATGTAGAGCCTCATTGCATCCCCCCGGGCACGCCTGATCTCGCATCACTCCTGCGGCAACCTTGCTCACAGCTACCGCCAAACTCGTTTGTTACCGCTTTTACATGGCCGGTGGGGTTTACTTCCCCTCACTGATTGAAGTAAGCTTTGTACCTAAAGGAAGGAAAGTGGATTACGAGAAATTGCGTTGGAGGCGAAAGAAATAAGTGGAAAATTCAAGCACTCGGTCCTTCAGAGAATGAATCTACGGGTGACATCGGGTGTGCTCGTACTTTTATCAGTCTTGGCACAGCTAATCTAAATAATTAGGAGCCTCAATTCTTCGCGTCTTCCCTCTCAAGCTCCCTCGGCTACGCGTTTTCCAGAACCCCGGGGTCACCAATGTTGTCCAACTTTCTTATGATCCAAGATTCAGAGGATGAGGGCTCTGATAGTAATGCCTGTTACCAAGAGAACGAGTTGGACCTCCCTCCTCCGGCTGCTTTGACAGAATCGGGTTCACACCTCCAATCACCATCATTGTCCTCGGGGCCAGGTCAGATTAGCGGAGGTTTGTTGGCTGTGGGGCTATTTTGCAGTTTTGTAACTAACGCTTGAATAGAAGCTCGTGAAAAGGCTATTAAGGAGGCTCAATCTCTGCTTCTAGCTCCTCCTCCCGATACTCCAGAGACTCCCGGAGTGCAACCAAAACCTGTCAAGGTGGCTACAGCTGCTCGTAGCAAAACAGCGAACGGATGGTTAGAAGGTAGCACGGGCAGGGAGATGGATGTGTACGATTTTCCGGTAGACGACGAAGACAGCGGGGATTTTGGACCTCCGGGGGGCAGGAAGCGGAAGAGACCTACGAAGGAGTCAAAGTCGGTTACAGAAGGGGGTGAAGGGCTGTCATATGAGAATCGGAAGGCAAAGCCTGGGAAGGGGCAGGAGAGTAGTGTGACGGTTAGGCGGTCAAAGTCCATTCCGGATATACCACAGGATGAATACTCAGAGGATGATTGGACACCAAATTCGAAAATTGAGAAACCAACTGGGAAAAAGTCCACTCGGAGTAACACTAACGAAAAGGAGCTCGCACTGTTATTACCAAAGCCGAAGAGAAAGCCGAGGGGCGGGACACCCGTCAGTAGTAATCAATATGATGGTGATTTAAGCTTAGGGATAGACATCACCCGTGTAATTGGGCAAAGCGAAGAAAGGTCAACAGTTCGGGTTGGCGAACACGATGCCAATTTTAACAGTTTTATGATTGACCTCACGAGCGAGGATTTAATTCTCGCGACACAAAGGAAAGCCGAGTACGAAGCCCTATCTTTAGGCGTGGCGGGGAGCTCCGATGCAACCCCTCTACCGGTGAACTTTGTGGGTAGAGAATCAGATGCTGAAGATTATGCAGCGTTGAGTACGATCCCAGATCCTCCTTCTGACGGGCTAGGCCAAAGCCAGCTGTGGGGTCTTGAACACAACGAGTCTCTGGCTGTGTTACCACATCAGCTTCCACCACAGCCACCTCCACAACCACCACTGCTTCCAGAGCAGCAACCAGCCCGTATGGTGTCCTCACCACTTAGCTCTCCCCCAATGGAGGAATCTGGTGCTGGACCGCCTTTATCGGCAGCGCAAATCGAAACCTCAAAAGAGGGGCGAAAACACGATTCTTCGAAAACTGCCAGAAGTAGCAGAGTTGCCAAGCGCAGTGTTACGGATGGGAGCATCGAGACTGAGGGTTTCGGAAGAGTCGCTTCGGAGTGGAGGGTTGCTAAAGGGAGGTCGAAAACGATGCATAATGTTATTACTTTATCAGACGACGAAGGCCATTTTGCTCAGGAGATCCCGGAGAAGAAGAAGAAGAAGGCTGCTCGTCAGAGGAAATCTGCGACCATTAGTGAAAGTGCAAAGAAGGGTGCAAAAGGCGCTACTGCATCCACGAAGAAGGGTAAAGGAAAAGGAAAAGCTGTTGTAAATGATTCTGAAGACGATGGCGCTTTCTCTGATGAGGCATTTGCTCACGTAATTACACTTTTTTGTGTTCTTGGAAAAGAAATTTGGTTAAATAAGCCCGGCGTTATTAAACCTAAAGCTAACGTTATTTATAGCATCCCATCTCTAGTCCCAATAATGCTGTTGCCGATGAAATCGCTGTCCTCCATCCTGGGCAGACTCCTGGCAGAAAGCGGCCAGGGGACCAAGTCATGATCGCCGTTTCAATCGAGTCTCCACCCAAGCCCGTCAGGGAGCGCGGGTCAATTACAAGAAAAACGGAAGAGATCAATCCGCCGGCCGATGTCGTAGAACCCGATTCCGACTTTATGCATGAAAACCCCCAACATGACTATGAGTCCGCTCCTTCATCCCCGAAACCTGTCATTCCTGCAAAGCGAGCTGCTTCGGGCGTTTCAGCTGGCAAGCGTAAAAAGAAAACTAAACCAGAGCTCGAAGATGAGGAAGAAAATTGGGATGAGAAGCTCAAGGAGACCACCAAGAAAGCTGCGGTGAAAAGTAGAAATGCTAAGGTAGGAAACAAAGTGCCTGTGACCCGTGGTAAAGTTAACTCCAAAAAGGTCTTGGACACGGCGGTTATTGAGGACAAGGCAGGAATTGGGGATCCCCTGCCAAAGCCAGCTGTGAGAGGTCGTGCTGCCAAAGCTAAGGTTGCTAGAAAGTTGCCCGTGGAAGACGAGGAAGAAGAAGCAGTTGAAGAGAATCTTGAGGAAGTTGAAGAAACTCCTGCGGCTCTAAAAGCCGCTGCAAGATCTAATACTACTAAGGTTGCCACTACGGCAGGCGCTTCCGAGACCGAGGACAAAAGAGAAACCCCCGCTCTAGCAGAACCCGGAGCGGACACCAAATTCTCGAGAGCAGAAACCGAAACCACTCCCGCACCTCCAGAACGCAAGTCCGCCACCCCGGCATCGGCCTCCAAAAAACCGGCTGTTACCACCCCCGGTAGGGTTCCGTTTCGCGTGGGCTTGAGCCGCAAGAGTAAGATCCCGTCATTGTTGAAAGGGTTCAGGAAGTAGGCGGTTTGTCCTATATTCCTTTTGTCTTTGTTTTACTTCGCCGGAATCGGAATTTAGATGGGCGGGGCGGATGGATGGATGGGGGAGTTTATGTTCTTTGAATTATGTTTTCTTTACTACCGCTTTCTTCATTCTGCCTTCACTTTATTTGGCTGGTGTTATGGTGCTATGTTTACAGGTAGATGAGGTGGCTGGCTGGAAGGACGGATAAAAGTGGATGCTAATAACGACTGCGGTGTTGATGTCTTCCTGGATGTGGCGGTCGTGATTGAGGTTATTTCGATATTATGTAAATTTGGGAGGAATGTGATAAAATATCGTAATTATCATACCAAGGTAGTGGAGCAACTATTGTCCGGAGTATTGGCAACCGGCGGTTCATCCGAAGCACAGGCCGTCACTCGCTGGGGTTCGTGGCTTGAAAAGTATGTTTAAATAGCATACAATACGAGATAGTAAGATACAGTACGGTAACCTGCCGTAAACATGCTGGACACTGCTAGCCAGGCGAGTATGTATAAAAACACTTTATATCTTCTGGAGATGTCCGCCGGGGGGAGGGTTTACACATGGAGTGTGTGGGGGGGGGTATGAGGGGGAAAGAAATCCCAATTTAGATTTTTATAAAAATACAAGGTTAACCGGCATTAGGGATAAGAATGCCATGGGTCAAGCTTGGCTCCTCCTTAGCAGCGGCGCTTCCGGACGGAATTCTCATACCGCTATGGTGGTTCGCGTGTTTAATAAGTGTGTTGTCTAACCACCTTTTCTAATCTCCGCATGTGGGATATCTTGAAATTGTTATCCATATAAGGAAACTCACGTTCTGCGGGGTGAGGTCCTATGGCAAGGACATCATTACGAGTATCATACCCGACATCAAATTTACAGTGCAAGGTATGATATCATACCGTAGCGTTCAAAGAATAATTAATATCCTGGGGCGTGGCGGGTTTTTAGCCCTCCCCTGGCTGGGGGAGGCTGTACATACAGGGTTTGTGGCGTGTCTCGGGGCGCCCTGGGGTTGGAAGAAAGAATTGAGGTATCGTAGGCAGGAGGAGACCAGGGGGTAGGGGATTCCTCCCGGCTGGCTCCTTGGTAGATATTGTACGGCGCTGTGGGCCGTTCAGTCACTCTTGATACCGGTGCATGTAGAATGGGAGTTAATTCTGTGGTTGAAAGGCTTCTTTCTGTATTAGTCTTCCTTGATGAGCGGGACTAAGAATATGGATAGCCTCCCGAACTCAGCTTGAAGCTCACATCTGAGGGGCAGTAGAGAGGCGTGATATCTATTAAACAGCCAGTACATCTATGGTAGGAACCAGTCATTGCCAATACCTTGGGCAACAGCTAACTTTTACGTCGCTTTTTACGAGGGTCAGAAATACTTGGACTTCATATTTTCTCTCTGTCTAACCTAAACAACACTCGAGCCGACACTTTAGAGGGGAGAAGGAATTGTAGAAAAAATAAATAAATGATAAATGTGCAAAAGAGATTTAGTTTACAACCAGAAAACAACAGTGGAAGTAAGTGTGATGAAAATTTCGAGCCACGCGGGCTTATCTCAAGAATGGAGGTAGCCTTCGTCGACACCCAACTCTAGATTATAAAAGGAAACTGATAAACCTCGACTCAACAACATAGAAAAATCCGTAGTAGGGCTTGGGCGGGCATGTGATAGAAATGCGCATTCACATCGTGTGCAATTTCCTCCAGACAGAAGAAAATACCGGAGTTGAATTTCTGAGGCGGCCTTTTCCCCAGGGGACAGGAAAGACAGTAATTACCACAAGACGGGCGAGGGAAGGGGGGCGGTGGCGGCGAGAGATGTGTCTATGGAGCTGTTGTGGCCCTTGCAGAAACAGAATGTGGGTCATCAATACTCGGAGGCGGTGGGGTGATGCATCCTCGCCCTAGACCGTACTGGGGGCGGTAGATTCTGGGGGCTGTAGTAGCGCCACCACTCCCGCATGGCCATTCTCTGCAGCCCACGAGAGTGGTGTCCGGCCGTCCTTGCCTGGTTGGTCGGGGTTGACGTCGCTCCGTCCGAGTAGTATTTTCACCGCTTCCTCATGTCCATTCCAAGCAGCACAACCGAGTGGCGTTTGGCCGTGCTCATCTGGTTTGTTGGGGTCGACATCTTCCCGCCCGAGTAGTATCTTGACCACTCCCTCTTTCCCATTCTCGGCAGCAGAGCAGAGCGGTGTTCGGCCGGCCTCATCTGGCTTGCTAGGGTTGACGTCATCCCGTCTGAGCAGTAGTTTCACCACTTCTTCGTGCCCATGCCAAGCAGCGCAACAGAGGGGTGATTCGCCGTACTGGTTTGGTTTCTCGGGGCTGACATCGCCAAGCCCGAGGAGTATTTTCACTATTCCCTCGTGCCCATTCTCGGCAGCAGAATAGAGAAGTGTTTGGCCTTCATCATTTGGCTCGTCAGGGTTGACGTTGCCCCACCCAAGTAGTATTCTCGCAGCTCCCTCTTGGCCATTCTCAACAGCACAATGGAGCGGTGTTTGGCCGTACAAATTTGGTGTGTGAGGGCTAATGTCGCTATGTCCGAGCAGTATTTCCACCACTCCATCGTGCCCATTCCGAGCGGCACAACCAAGCGGCGCTTGGCCATCCTCATCTGGTTGGTTGGGGTTGACGTCGTCCTGTTCGAGAAGCATTTCCACCACTCCCTCATGACCGTTCTCAGCAGCACAATAGAGTGGCGTTCGGTTGCGGTATTCTGGTTTGTTGGGGTTGATGTCGTCCCGTTCGAGAAGTATTTTCACCACTCCCTCGTGGCCATTCTCAGCAGCACAATTAAGTGGTGTTCGGCGGTACCCATCCGGTTTGTCAGGTTTGACGTCCTCTCTTCCGAGTAGTATTTCAACCACTCCCTCGTGCCCGTTGCCAGCAGCCCACACGAGAGGTGTAGTACTCGTGCAATCTTCTTCGTTGATATCACAACCTTCCACCTCTACCAAACCAGCTACGATCTCAACGATCCCGAAGAAGGATACACAGTGTAGACTACTGAACCGGAGGGGCTTATGAAAACCGTCGAAAAACAGTTTCTGTACTTTCAAGAGAATTTCAACTGAGATGTGATTATTGTAGTCGTCAAATAGCTTTAGCGCAAGTGATTTGGCGCAATCTGAAAGGTCCTTTTTTGCGTGAACTCCCCAATATAGAGAGGAGTATTCGAGAAAGGGCATGTCTTGGAGATCGTGGGAGGGACTGGTTGAAAGAGAGGGACTGGTTGAAAGAGCCTTGACCTGCTGGAAATTCAGATAACTGAGGCAGGTTTCTGCCAGTGTTGAGTGGGCTCTACTAAAAAGTTCGGGTTGAGCACGGAGGTATTCCTGGAGGGTAAAGTGGATTAATCGGACCGTGGAAGCCTCCTTGTCCACAACAACAAGTCCTTGGCAACTGGCTAGCAATGTTCCTATTGCAGGAACATTATCGGGATGGAGATTCGGCGACCCTATTTCGACTGCTAGGGCGTGACATAGTTCATCAACTTTCAAGGGCCGCTCCGAGTGAGAGATCCACATCAAGGCGGCCATGCCGAGCCTCGATTTTTCCCCACCCTGTCCTTTTATCCGACCCAGTGTTGCACCATAAGCACTCCCCAACCCTACACCCTTGGTAATTTCGCTGAGCCTTTGTCGCCTGCGATGGATTGTTGTCTCTTGAAGGATGGCATCGATGTTTATTGAGACGAGCAGGAATCTAGATGTTTGTTGGTTAGCGGATAGCTTTAGGTAGAGTCGTTGCGCTGATCATACATACATTTCCGAGATATTATCTGGGATTTTCTCTAAGATGTCTGCTTCCAGACTACTGTCCATCGCATCCGGGTTTGGGTCCAGGGCTAACCTGGTGCGGATATATCTAATGATATCGTCTCTCTTGGGGCTTATGGATACACTTGTTACCTTTCCACCAAGACGCCTTCCAATCTCAGGTCGAATGTGCGGTCTCCCGGTCACGAATATTCTAGTCCCTGGAGACTTTTGGAGGATTTTATTTAGCGAATCAAGAAGCCTGACTCGATATCCTTCCACACATTCATCCAGAGCGTCAATACATATGAATGTGCGCTCTTTGGAAGAGGCGTTCTGCAGCCACCCTACAATATCGCTGAGTTCCGGTTTCCGCCCATCAATTTGTTTCTTTGAGTGTTGGCGCGCTTGAGATATATCCTCCGGGATCTTCTCCAGTCCGCCAACTAGCTGTTTTAGAAGAGCGCCCAGCGAGCTCGTGGGGGACTGCTCCTTTTGGATGGTGAAGTCGAAGTAAAAACATGCAACGATAACATTTTGGCCTTCAACCTGACCACATAAGCTGTCTATGAGCAATGAGCTAACATTGTAGCTTGTCAGCGCGTGCTATTTCCCTTCCATTCCTAAAGATTCGTCCTTGTTACCTCATATAAGTCTTACCCACACCGGGATCTCCGTAGAAAAACAAAACTGGGTTATCGGATTCGCCTCCCTCGCTACTAGCGTACCAGCTTCTAAATTCCTCGGTTTGTAGAAGCCATTTCCCTACCTCTTCGACCCGGTGGTCCCGAATTTCCTGATGCCGTGACTTGGGATCCAGTGGAGATAACCATGTTAGGATATCAGATCGGGTATCGACAACATTGCAGTTAATGGTCGTGTTCCAACAGTTGATGTTGTTACTGAAACGTTGAGACATTTTTTGTTTTTGCTGATTTGGGTATTGTAAATGATGGATGATGGAGTCCGTGGACTATTGCACTGTAATCTCTGGGGGCCTTAAGAGGGGAGCGGGGTTTTTGTGGAACCTCATGGATACCGGTGACCACCCAATCAACCTCCCAAATCTGTGCATGTGCTTACCGGTACCGCATCGGTGCGATAGCAAGAAATACCACACCTCCTTAAATATAAAAATTTCACTGCGACCAACAAACACCCTAGAGTACAGTTACAGTACCAGCGATGGAATCCGTGAATTTTGCACTAAAAATTGCATTTTTTGTTACTTTAGAATATAATAACCTACTGTCTGGTTGTCACAAAGTCCAGCATCTAAGGAGATTCGCTCATTGCGAGCATCGTCTTGAAATCTCGGGTGTTTTCATGCGGAGTGGGGTTGTGTGCGAGCACCCAAAATCAGCAGTTTTCCAATTAAGTAACTTTTTCTATGGGCACCCGTACAAATCGCAGGTGCTTGAGTTACCCTGAAATTTGGAGCTCCCCTGCACA